GTAAGTATTAATTTAAATTTTTTTTAAATTTTCTATAAAACTCTAAATGACTAACTCTAAATTTAATTCATTGAATTATTTTTGTAATAACAATTATAATATTACTAAAATATAAACTAAATATAAATATATATACTATATATAAATATGTTGTGATAACAAAACATCTGTTCAAGCTTAGCAACTAGAGACGTTATTGGGCCAAAAAGGAATATAGTGTCATTTTTTTTTGAAATGTTAATTCACTATCTCAAGGTCAAGAAGGCCACTAAAGTTGAGGAGGCTACTTAAGTTATGATACAACCCTCTCTCTATAACTCTGAAATATGAACCTTGACTAATAAGGCCACAGCTCATGGAACAAGTTTAGTGCAGTATTACGTCCCTGACTTGGTAGGATCAAACTCGGAACTTTTGGTTATGAGGTGAGCTCTCTTCCACTACACCACTACCCAATAATTTACTATACCATTATAAGAACTAGCTAAAATATGATAATTTATGGCATAACAAGGTCAATTCATTCAAAATTTTCATTAATTCATTCAAAAATTAATAACTTTTTTTTTGTTCTACCCTTACTTTTCAAATCAAGTTTTTCGGCACAATTATTATAATGTCATTATGTTTTGAAAACTTTTATTTGTTTTATTATTTAAAATATTTTTAACACAATTTTGCTGTTGTTTCTGATCTAATATAGATCAGAAACAACACAAGGCCAAGGCCATTACGCATAATGTTCCATATGAAAATAATTGTATTCCAGAAATTCCATAAGATTCCAAAATGCAATTGTTGTATCCCAGAGATACAACACAGGAAGTGTTGTCTATCAAGGATATCTTTAATACTGTAGTTAAAAAAAACAATTTAATAATTATTAAAACCTTTCAGATACACCATTTGCAAGTGAATGAAAAGAAGCTTTCCAGACATTATTAAAAGCCTTTTAATTTGCCTAGAGCAATAGTCCTTGCTTCGCCACTTTTTATATAATGAAACTTTTTGACTTATAGCTTTTCTATTATAATGGTTAATTTTTTGATTAAAGTTTTTCTGTTATAATGGTTAACAAGTCAGTTGAAAAGTGAGAGGATCAAAATTTGGTTGGCAGAGTAGATTTTGGTTGGCAGAGTAAATTCTTAAATCTAATAAAATATAAGAAATTTGTTAATTAAAAACATAAAGACTTCGCTAATAATTGTAATTTGACTGATTGGGTTTCCATGAGAACGACAATCATCACCAGAGTTTTGTAAATTTGAAACAACAGATTTGTTTTCAATATTTTCCAGACAGCATGAAAACAAGATTTAGTTGAGCATTTCTTATATAGATAAATGTTAACTGAAGTTAAAGAGGAGTTAAAGTAAGAAAAATACTTTAACAGTGGAAGTAGGCTTTGGATGTCTCATAGTGTATTAATTTGTTTCTTTCGACCAATAAAAGGAGTCATCAAGTTAATGGGATGAATTAGAGGAAAAGTTTTTTGCAAATAGTTGAGCTTTATTCTTGGTGAAACTAATTGTATCAGATCCATACAGAGATTAATTGGTTTAAATTTGTTTAAATTAGTGGAGTTAAATTGGTTTTTTTGGGACTCTGGAGCTCAAAAATCATGGAATCCATTGACTCCGAATCTGGAAATGTTTTTTTTTTTAATTTTAGCATGTGGTTTTTATTATGTTGTACTACTGCGCCATGACTGCTTACTAAAAGTTAATTTGTTCTGCTTTCCCTGGATAACGAGAATTAATACGAATAATAGAACTATAAAGAGAAATTTTATTTAAGAAAGATGTTTATTTTGCACAATTTTCTGATTAATCATAACCATACAATAATAAAATTATAAAAAAATTTTAATTTTTAGTTTATTAGTAACAGACATAAACACTACAAGAAAAAACTATTACAATATCTACATCAAAAAATATTCAAATATAAAACTTATTTGTTCGTAAAAAAAGCATATTGTCATAACTCAGATGAAAAGTGACTATGATGACCATCCTTGTCAAACTCATCAGTTTCTACTGGAAATTTGACTTTGATTTACTCAATGGCTCTGATGCCGAAGTGATGTACTAACTTTATATTCCCCTAAATAAATTAAATATGGTTTCAATTGTTAGTATTATTCAATATATATTCTATGCCTTTCGATATCTAAAAGATTTTGTTTACATTTTTATAAACGTTAAATCCATTTTTTTTATAAATGATTATGTTCACTGAAAATAAAATTCACTGAACAAGACATTTTAATTTTAATTATTTAATTTACAATTTTCATTTAAAAAGACAAATTTTAAAATATATGTTACTCACTGCTGTATTGTTGACACTGAGGCCTAAAATGTTAGTTTTTTTGATTCCAAACTTATCTTAATAATTTCAAAAGTTACTTTATTAAGTTTAATTAAAAATAATTGTATTCTGCGTTTTGTTTTCCCTTTGTACCAATGGTGTCATGAATGATCACAACAATTTCATCATTATTTGAGTATTGCACATTTATACCAAGGTAGTAGTGCATATGCCTTGTTGTAGAATTGGCTAAAATAAACTAATATTTTAATTTTGATTTGTTCGCGATGCTTCTTAACAAGATCGCTAGTTTGAATTATTATATTTTCTTTATTTATTTAGAATCTAAAATGAAAAGCAACCTATTCAACCGCAAAGCTTTTGAATAGGTTTGCAATCAAATGTCTTTACAAATTGTTTTTAAAGTTATTTTACAAATTGTTTTTAAAGCTGTAGGATATATACAAAGTTGATCATTAAATATTGTCTACGCGTTTTCTTTTGGTTGCTTTTTTAAGTATTTATTAGCATCAAATAAAGTTTTATCAAAAAATATTTCAAAGTGTTTTGTGATGAATTCTAATGATGTTGGTAAAGGTAAATACATTTGAAAAGTTTTAATTAGTTTATTTGTGATTTTATATAAGTCTGTCGGTTTTGTAAAAACTCTTTTCTTTCTCTTATTTTTTGCAATTTTCACCGCAAACTATAAGTAATTAGTAATACTTCCAAGCATTTCCAGGTTGCGGTTTTTTTATTAACAGATAGGCTAAGGTTTTGACTTCAATGATATGTAAAAATCACCTGCCATTTTTTGCCATTTTTTTCTCCGTATTTGTTTATTCACTCTTCATGTTTATAAGTGTATGATAGGAAAAGACCAGGGGGGTTGTTGTTTCTGTATAATTTTTTTTTCTCTTTTTTTTCTTTTTTTCTCTGTGTACTTTAAAGAAAGTAAATTATTACTTTTTTTAAATAAAGGTTTACAATTAGTATTATATATTTTATTGAAACTATAAAATAATTTATTTAATAAAAAAAACACTAAACTTCATGTTCAGGTATATTTTAATTTTAAACGGAGTTTATCTTAGGTATGTCAGATGTCAGGGAAACGACCTGAAGAATGTTTTTTAATCCTAATGCAGAGCTAAATTTTATCAAACATGAATGAGAAATTAATGTTTTTAGAATATTACGTATTAGCAAAAGATAATTACTCTGACGAACAAATAATAGAAGTAAAACATAGTTTATCGCAGTTTAGTTACGAGTTAAAACAAAGATGATCAATAGCAAAGAGGGGTAAAAATTTGTTTTTAATAAAAAACAGTGATTGGCTAGATGGAAATGTTGTAATACCTGAAGTACTGCATCAAGGGGGTAGGCCAAAAAAGAACTTTAAAGAATTAAGCAAGAGAAACAAAAGAAGAAAAACAGAAAACATACGTGCTACCGCAAATTCAGAAACTCTGATTTGTGCTGCTCAGGTGGAATTAGGTATTATAGGAAAAAGAACTGCTTCAAAAATTTTAAAGGACATTATCCACTCCCCAAAATGGGCAAAAATGTATAAGATAGCATACTCAAGCGTTTTACAGGAAAAAAAATCACAGCTATCGGTATTAAGTGCACTGGCCATGTTTGTAGAAGCTGGTCTTTCCAGAAGACAATATGAAATTGTTAGAAGTTCTTGTAAAACATTATATAGTATCCTGCAAAAGTCAAAAGTAGATTGTTTTCCAAATAAGGAATCTTATTATGTCACTGAAACCTGTATTGCAGTCAATTTACAAGATTTATTGGGCCATACCCTTACACTATTGGTCATGTATCTAGAAGAAGTGTTACAAAATTTAAATGAAAAAGAAAGAAGTTCATTAATATTAAATTGTAAATGGGGTTGTGATGGATCACAGCAAAATCAATATAAACAGAAATTTCTGAATGATGCTGATGCAAGTATGTTTCAGAGTTCTTTTGTACCACTTCAATTAACTTGCACTAAAAACAACAGATTGATCTGGCGAAATCCAACTCCTTCTTTGCCACGTTATTGTCGCCCTATAAGAATTAGATTCGTCAAAGAATCTAATGATATAACAAATGAAGAGATAAAACTTAGTGAAAATTCAATTATTCCCACCCACTGTCAATTTTGCATGATAATTTATTTTCAGTTAAACATAATATGATGCTTACTATGGTTGATGTTAAGTTGTGTAATGCAGCCACTAAAGCAGCTTCAACTATGAGATGCTATATTTGTAATGCAACATCAAAAGACTTTAATATCTTGACTATTGAAAAGGATGTCAAACCAGATACACTGAAGTTTGGGTTACCAATTTTGCATGTCAGGATCCGAATATTTGAAAATTTATTGTATCTATCTTATAAATTGTCTAATTAAAAATGGCAAGCAAGATCAGAAAATGAAAAATTAATTGTCAAACAAAAAAAAAACTAGAAATAAAATCAAATTTTAGAAAAAAAGTAGGTTTAATTGTAGACGTACCTAAGCCTGGATTTGGTAACTCAAATGATGGCAACACTAGCCAACAATTTTTTGCAGACCCAGAGTTGGCAGCTGAAATATTGTGTATTGATTATAGCCTAATATATCGCCTTGAAGTAATATTAAAAACAATATCTAGTGAACATAAAATAGATGTCAAAAAATTTAG